TAGAATGGGAGCCAGCCTTTATGCCCCTCTTCTGTGGAATCAGCTCCCAGTTTTGATCAGGTAACCCTGAATCCTCTCTTATTTATGCTGGATATTTTTAAACACCTCTCTCCATTTAATTATTAGTTATTATTAATCTCTGGCTCTCTTTCGCAGCATCTTACCCCCCTCACCCAGAACTGGCCATGGCATGTGGCCACCCCTCCCTGAGTTTGTTTCTGCTGGAGGTTTCTCCCTGTTAATATATTTTTTCTTCCCACTGTCACCAAAGTGCTCGCTCATAGGGGGTCATATATCATATTTTCTCTCTTGTCTTTGTATTATTGTAGGGTCTTTACCTTGCAGTATAAAGTGCCTCAATGCAACTGTTGTTGTGACTATATAAATAAAGTTGATTTGAATTGAATTACTGGTGACATCAATTTGGTCATGTCAATATTTCTGATTGTTTAAAGCAGCTAGATTAATAAATCCAGTGTAGACTTACTGATGTGAAGCCAAATAAAGGAAAAGATCATCTGGATATGTTGAACTTGTTTTGTAGGCTCCAGGAAGAAGATTAATTTCTTCTACAAACTCACCCATTGTCAGATTGAGAGTGTTGATTGGCTTGGTCTTCAAAATGGCCGCCTCAGAGTTGTTTGTTCCTGTCTGGGCGACATGACACTCATACGTTCCAATCTCAGCAAATGTCGCCTCCACTATATACAAAGACAATTGACCATTCCACATGTCTGCATGCAGCAGATATATGCGACTCAGAGAAGGTGACTTCTGAGTGTCTGGATCAGACGCATTGCTTTGGTAAAAAAATACATTTTTTGAATCCAAGTAAGACCTGGTCCACATCACAGCCCCAATTGATATATCATTTGGAACGTAACATGGCAGAATGACATTATCTCCAGGAAAAACCTTGAGGTTTGTCGAGTCTGAAAGAGAGAAAAAAATAAAACACAGACCAGTAAGCTGGAGTTACAGCTGATACCAAACAAACCAGAATACACTGCATGCTGAATATTAATACAATTACTGAGAATCACATGAGGAGAAACATTTAGAGAGAATCGGTTGCCCACGACACAGATAGAAATCAAATATAAATTTAAACCTTTTACATGTAAGAATCCATTAGATCAAGTAACACTGGAAAATATGTCTCCCTCCCTCAAACAGAAACTTCCTGCTCAGTTGTTTTTGTACACATGTTACATTGCAGCAAAAAAAAAAACAAACCCTGAAATGTCTGGTTCCAGCAGCCTCCTTTTTAGACCAACATCAAAAGCTTTTAGACCCAACATGATGCGTCTCAGATAGGATGAGTCACCCACTTCACCCCAACTCTACAGGTACCATTAGAGTTACCTGTACCTGAGCTGGACTGCAGTAAACACAATCAGGTAAAGACTGGTAGTTGAAAGTATGGAGATAATTCAAAGACAAAGGCATCAATTTAATAAAAAAAAAGAAAAAACCTCTCCTCTCCCATCATCAAATTGCCTGAAAAAATTTACACAGAAAAAAACACTCTTACAACACTAATAGAAAATGTATAAATAAATGCCAAAATGTCAAAAAATCAATTTTCAGACAATAAGAGAGTACACTATATTATATTAACAGAAACTAGAATGATTTCAGTTTCTGTGAACACCTGGGGAATATCACACTGAAGCTGCACCTTTGTACTTTTAAGCTTTAATATCTGTAAAACCATTAACAACGATTTGCACAGTTTAACTACAAGTTTATGCCTTAAATATGGAAATTTGTGCATAAAATATCCTACCCTACCCACTACACTGTGATTTCAATTGTCTTTGAAATCTGCTGTCAAAGATGGGACATCCAATAATTTCAAGAATCCATCTTTCTGTGTGAGCTTCACCTCTGAGACTTCACATTCATACAGCCATGCGATGTCCCTTAAAGTGTTTTTTTAGATAATAGAATTTTAAAATATCCTCTACAAAGAGTCATATCAGCAAAATTTCTAACAACACCCTGATACCTGCTCATATGTAATTGAACATTTAATTTTCTCAAACAAAAAATTATTACAAAAAGGACCTAAAGGTTTGCATAATGTACATTGAGAAGTTTATATTTGCCTTAATTTTTTCCAGCAAATCTGGGATGATCGGGTGAGAGGTATTTAATGAACTGATATGGAATGATCCCAAAAATGAAACATTTCAGTCTGAAAAATCACTTGAATTAAAATCCTTCCGAGCTGAGAATATCATCATAGATCCAACAGAAACATGTGTCTCGTCGCTTTTGATATTTTTTTTCATGATAAAAAAAAAAATATATTATTTAATGTCTATTAAGGAAAATTGATCTTGAATCAATGAGTTTTGATGAAAAAGATCAACATTGTGCTCCACATTGAAAAGCATTCTGATTTTTCTTCTGCATTTGATTCAAATTGAGGCTCTGCTGATTAGATATTTTTGTCGTGGTGATTCCTGATAGATCCTTCAGATGGTTTTCATTACTCACACGTGTGAACTTAACATCTGTCTGTCCTCCACCTGTTGATATTTATCACTAAGACAAACACGCTCTGTCAAAATCCAAACACTAAGTGCAGCACAGGAAGTATGTAACATAGTACAAAGTAGGAGAAATACGCATCTCTGTATACACATGTGTCGCTGCTGGCTGCAAGTCTGACATCAGCCAAATAAGCTGATTTACATCATTCTAATGAAAAACCTCACCTCCAGAAGATGATGGTGACAGACAAAGGAGAATCAAACCCAGCACGGCTCTTCTGGACATGTTCATCTTCGTCGGCAGTAGCAGTAACGTTGAAGAGCTGCTTCTTCTTGGTGCGTTAGGGTGCTGTGAGCACTTGTACTCTTGTCTAACTGGACACAGTCTCCACTGTTCAATCGCAGGTTTTCTGCTTCAGCCCATCTGCCTCATCCTTCAGACTGGACGCAGAGTTGGAGGTTTGCTGCTCTCTACTGTTCATGTGTGAACTGCCTTAAATACACATTCAGTTATTATTAAATCAACACTGAAAGTGCACAAAGAAAAGGAGAATACACATAAGATTAACATTTGTTTGAGACACTTGCATGTTTGAAATCCTCAAACAAATGTTAATATTTGACAAGTATGATCCAAGTAAATAGAAAATGCAGCTTTGAAATTATGATTTCATTTGTTAAGGGGAAAAAATTATCCTACCTTCCTGGGACGACGTGAAGAAGTAATCCTCCCCTAAACCTGCTATATGGTTATGTTACTACTGGCAGGGGCAATCAACCATTTGTAATAACTGTAAATGAGTCTTTGACATCACTGTGGAGGAATTTTACCCACTCTGCTTTGCAGAATATGCAGCAAACTGAGAAACCAGGAGGAGGCTAAACATTTTTTACAGCACTGTGAATTGGTTTACCGCCCTTTAATGTAAGCAAGATAGACTTTATATGCTAGAAAATGAGATTTATATGTATAATAACGATTTTTAAAAATAGCTGAGTGTTGAATTGCGCACACAGACAGCAGGGGGCATCTGTTTCTGCTGTGATGAACACCATAGACGGAGCGGTTCCGAACGACAGCAACATCAGGAAGAAGGAACACAAGAAGCTGGAGAAATAAAAAGGCCTCAGTGAAGAGCTGGAGAAGATGTGGAGGGTGAAGGTAACAGGAACAGCTAAGCGACTGCGCAGGACTCTCAAGCTCCCAGGCCTCTGGTAGATATTATCATATAATTATAAATTATTATTGTAAAATAAGTGGATTTTATAAATATCCTGAACAGAAATGTTAAGTTATTTAATTGCAAAGATGGTGACTAAAGTTTTAATTTCAGGTGGAAAAAATTGATTTTATAATTAAGGCATAAAAACTGTACTGGACCAAAATCAGAAATGTGCAGAGTGCAGCAAACAGGGGCGGTCCTAGCATGTTTGGTGCCCTAGGCTCTGCAGTCGTTCATTTTCCTGTTTCTCCTTATAAAAAATACATAAGCTGAGAGTGTTTCTCAAAACTGGGTTGTTAATTTTAATCTCTTTGTCTTGTTTTCAGAAAGCATCAAATTTTAATGAATTTAAAACAATAATATTCTGCATGTACACCCATGAAATACATAATATTTTAGGTTGTTCGTTTGATATGAAACTGCTTCCAGGTTTGTTACACCAACTGTTTCACTTCATAGATGCTTATTTTTCTGATCTAGTTTTTTTTTTTTTCTGAAATTTTACAATCCTACTATTTATCCTAATATGATTTATCCTAAGGTCCCAAAGAAGGATTTACTTACTTGGACTAACATGAACAAAGAATAAAGTCAAAAAATGCTTGCAGCGTCTAGTGCTTTCAACTAGGACATTTTGTATATTTATTATATGTATTAATTATATATAAAGTATTGAATTATTGCAGTCAACAGTGAGAGGACATTTATTCTCTCGGCATCTGTAGCTCTAGTATCTCCAGTAGCCAGAGCTGGAGATTTTTATGAATGGGAGTCACTGGTAGGATCAAGAACAAGGGTGAGGGTGGTGGTGGCATTTGGAAAAAAAAGTCAAAGAGAACATATGGCATTAATTCTACTTTAATTAAATGCTTATTTTGTATTATTTTATTATAATTTAACATGTACTTTACAACGGACAAAACACGTGACATGCTGCGCAAAGTATTCCCTTGAGTGGGTAGTAGCATAGCTGGACTGGCCATCGGGCATACCGGGCATCTGCCCGGTGGGCTGATGGTGATTTTTC